GGTGCTTAGTTGCTGGCTGGGGCTAAACCACGACACCCTGGTCTCAATTTAGTTTAATATGTGGCATCTCTGAAATGACTGTTTTCATTCTTAGCAACAAATATGCATCATGCAGGTCTAGCATCTGCCTTCATTAGAAGCAGCCCTGAACCTTTTACAAACCTTGGCTTTATTATTTCAGGGGTTGGGGCAGGAGGTAAAGAAATGAAAAATGTGGAAATAGTATAGCTGGGCAAGAAACACAGAATTAGACACCCCTTTGCAGGAGTTTCTTTAGTGTTAAAAGAGTTTAATAAAAGAAAGGTGGGTGGGTGAAAACTACAGGAAGAAGGCAAACTTGGCAGCCTTCACTTGTGGTTTCCATTTAACTGTTCAAAATGTTAGGCCTCATGTCTTCATCAAGTTTTCCACTGTAAATTAACTTTAGCTGCAGCAGCCATAACTTTGCCATTGTTTTTTATTAGTCACCCTACCTAATAGGTCTTAAAACTCCATTACAGTAAAAAGTCTTCAATCACTCTTATCCATTTTTAATGGCTACTTTCCTTTGTCCTTCCAGATACTCAGCTTAGTCCTCGATATGACAACTTGATACAAAAAGACTAGAGCTAATATTTGCTGGGTTAGAGACAAGTCTGGGAGTATCCAGACCATGCTGCAGGCAATCTCACCCTCAGGCTGGGCTATTCTCAGTCCACCTTGTTTGCCGTTCACTAAAGTCACAGAAAAAGTACACGCAAACATAAATACATAGATACATTTTTTAGGTACATTTTTTTTTCTTCCAATGTATATAAACAGATACATTCTAGGAAGTTAATGCCCCATATATTTGTAGTGTCCCTCTATACTAAAAAAGGCATTGCATTGGAGAGAGAATGCTGTATTTCATATTGTACTGTGAACTGCAAAACTGTAAAACACACCAAGGCTGCAAATAATAGAAAACACACGACACCAGAGAACCAGGACCTATGTGTATGACATTCTTTTGCATATCATTATTAGAAATCCATGGATTTCACAGTGAATCCCATAGCTACTGAGAAGACATCCAACCAAAAGCTTTGCATTTTACAGTCTGTAGAAACAAAGCCTAGAAGTATTTTGAACTGACCTCACAGTAACTATCTGGCCTCCATCCAGCTCAATTCCATTCATCTGTGCTATGAAGATGGCAGCCACAGCTTCATAAAGGGCAGTTCCATCCATGTTAATAGTCGCTCCAACAGGAAGAACAAACCTTGTTACACGCTTATCAATGCCTAGATTTTCTTCGAGACACCGGAATGTGACAGGTAATGTTCCAGCACTGAAGGAGAGAAAGCAAAAATGTAGAGAAGACATAATTACAATATAATATATACACATAAGGTTGAGATATGTCAGAAATTCTGCTCTCGTTTACATTTCCTACTTCCACTTTCTGCAGTGATTCAAGCCTTTTTTAGCCAATTTTAAAATTAAGACTACATTTAGCTGGAGGTGGGACTAGGCCAAGATATGAACATGACTTGAAGTAGGGATGAGAGCTTGAGAGAGTGTAGATGAATTTTTCAGGCTCATTTATGAATTATTTCTTGCATTTTGTTCAAAAACACAGTTTTCAGATGTTTTCTGATGAATGGAACTATGAGCATAGGGACAAATTGTAAATTTCTTTGATTGTGACTTTGCTCTGAATGGAGAAAACAGTGTTGCATTAAAGAATGAAAAAGCCAGGCAAAAAGATACAACCCATGGAGTTCCCAGACACTAGAGGACAGGAAAGGATATGAAACACAGCTGGAGGATAGGAAAAGATGTGAAAGATGGCTGGAAGAGGGGAACAGCTCCTTGCACAGATCCACAGTGCCTTGCCTTTGTGGGAATAGTTCAGGCTATTACATTCACTTGCTCAAAATAAAACACCTTCATCAAAAAATTCTGCTGAAAACAGAACATACTCTTTTTCCTTGTAGATGCAAATACCTTCTACTTCTTCTTTTGCCTAGCAGGTCTACCTGCCTCAGGCAAAGCAGTTATTGCAACAAGCATGAAACCCAATACAGGAACCTGTTTTGGTTCCTTACTGTTCTGTGTTATCTCTGAGGTCAAGTCCGCCACTAAATGAAGTTGGTTGTTGCCTGAGAAGCTGTTCTGAAAACAAAGCTGACCTGGGAAAATTCCTTTTTTTTGGTGTTTCATACATAAGCAGCTGGAGCACATCTGTTGTTGTTTATTGGCTTTTCTTCAGCTGAGTTGGTGAATTTCTCAAAGGTCTTCACTATTGTATCCCACTAATTCTGGTGTCATTGCCCCTACAAAAATACTAATTTGCTCATAGAATAGTAAAGGTCTAGACTCACCAAATTTTCTCAGATAAATACTTGCAGCAGCAAGTTGTTAGTGCCTTGCAACTTCAGGTTCTTTCAAACTCATTCATTCATCCACTACCATAGAGATGCTATTGGGTACAAAAAATGTAATCTGCCCATTTTACAGATAATTAAGCCATGGAAAAGGGAGATTAAGGAATGATTGAGATACCTAACTGTAAAAATGTAGCGTCATAATAAATGTCCTAGGTTATCTGGAACAGGCACCTGAGTCTGACCTATCTCGCTTAGGATCTATGGAAAATTCAAACCCTTCTGGATTGGCAAATGCCTGAGACACTTCCTAAATGATTCTTTTTGTCCCACATCTATGGAAACACGAGTTAGAAAATATGAGCTTCTAGATCACCACCTTGTGCTCAAATGACTGGACCATTCTTTGTTCACAGAGGTGATTTTTTTAACAGATGTTGATAAGCCAGATACATGGTACCAATCATTTGTGTTCTAGCATCTTTACAAATATATTTGTAATTATGATTTATTTTACTGCGTTTTTAATCAAAGGTAATCAGATGCTTAATATTCTGTGGGTTTAGCCAAATCAGAGAGAATTCATACTTTCTAAAAACAATGTAGTATATTCTCTCATAAGTTACTCTAGCAGCTATATTTATAGCAGATAGCAGAAAATATCTAGCATGTCATTAGCCAGTAACTACTAGTCAGTTTTCAAGTCAGTTCCAGGATCACTTTGCCTCCTACAGCAAAGACATCCCTATATCTTATTAAAAGAAAAATAGAATGGAAAATATAATTCACTGACACGCATTGAAACTCAGTCAGATAAGGTTCTTTTTCTTCAGAAATACAAGTCCTACCTTAGCTTTACTGTTACAAATCAGATCACCAGCACAAGGTATATATCAGCCATGGCCTACAATTGCTGCAGTGAACCTTGGTGGCCTCAGCAGGCAGGGACTATGCAAACATCTTCCCCCTTCAGTTCTGCCACCATAAGCAAGGACAGGTGGGCAGGCCATGGAGACAAGGTTTATTTATTAAAAGAGAACAATACATAGATGCCTTCTGCAATTCCTCAGCCTGGCCAAAGAGCTTTAATAGGTCTCTGAGTAGGAAGCATTTACAACTTCCAGAGGCACCAGGTTAAGACCATAAGACAGTCATTGTTGTCATGTGGTCACTAGTCTGGTACTACGAACTGGTCCACTTCTGTTTAGCCAGTAATTCAGATCTCGATAGCAGTCAGGTGGTAAAGCTAGTATCCAGGTAAATCCATATGCTGGAATCACTTAGAATCCCCTACATTTTTCCACTTTGGTACTCCAGCAGGAAAACCTTTCTTCACACTAAAAAAAACCCCACAAATGTTGTGTATGGACACTGTAAATTTTGTACTGAAAATCTAAGTGGAAACTTGAACGCTTCAATGAACAAAAGCCTTAGGGAAATTGTGGTTTAGTGAAACTCCTAACCAGGCTATATCTCCTATAATCCTGCATTGTTTATCACAGAGCCACCGAATTGTTGAGGTTGGAAGGCACCTCTAGAGGTCACCTATTCCAACCACTTGGTCAAGGCAGGGGCAGCTAGGGCCGGTTGCCCAGGACCATGCCCGGGGATGGAGGCTCTGCAACTTCTCTGGGCAATCTGTGCCAGCATTCAACCACGATCACAGTAAATCACAGTAAAAAGATTTTTCTTGTGTTCAGATGGAATTTATTGTGTTTAGATTTGTGCTCACTGCCTCTTGTCCTGTCACTGGGCACCACTGAGAGAGTCTTGCTTTACCTTCTCTACACTGACCATCAGATATTTATGTACATCAGTAAGGTCCCCCCAGAGCCTCTTCTTCATCAGGGGAGAAGTTGTTCAGCAGAGTGGTTTGGGTGACAAAGAGGCAGAAG